CCGTAGGGATCTTTCAGATCACCAGCCTTCCTTCTCGTAGCAGGCCCTGAACAAATATGTGCTTGCAGGTGGATGTGCTTCAGCTTGCCAAGACCGAGCCTGCTCTGTGATGATATCCCTGCCGAGCTATCCGACTCGAGCTGCAACCCAACCTGCGTGCCAGGAAACATCTCGATCATGGTCTTGATAAGCAGGCCGTCGCAAGCTCCCGAGCACATGTTGTAGATCTCTGCCTCCGCCGATGACGTCGCTGGGCTCGCCTGCGTCCTGCTAAAAGCTGCCACAGCCGTGTCGTTCAGGTAGATGAGCCCGCTCGATGTGCTCTTGCGCCCGATCTTATCTCCTGCCCAGTCGCTGTCAACCTTCACCTTGAGCGTGATGTTCTCGGACACGATGGGCGTGATGAAGCTGACCACGTCCTTGGTGCCAGCGAGGTACTTGCTTGCTCTCTTAAGCATGGCTGCGTCTCCAACAGACCTCCTTCGTCGCGAACTGGATGTCGTACGGCTCTCCTGGAACGAACAACACCGTGACAGTGCCAGTCCGAAAGGTCCTCGCTGCGTTGTAGTCTAAGAGCTCCTCGTTATCTTGCTTTGCATCACTCTTCACTCCAGGCGTTGCCACCGTCTTGCCACCACTGACCGCCATCAGCTCAAGTAGACTCTCGACCGTCTTAGGCGCGATCCTGATCGTGTAGCCTCGGTTGTTGTCCAGCATCTTGATGATCCTGTCGAGGTGCGCCTGGGAACTCCCCATCGTCACCTCTGGGGCGATCTTGAGCAGGAAGTGTTGACCGAGCCCTTCTAGAAACTCATCTGGACCTTCAGCATCTCAAATCACCACGCCGTCGTCCACGTGCGTCGATACGATCGTCCTCATGTCCTCGCTGGCGTAGACACTGGGCTCTGAAACCAACCTCCTCATGTCAAGGTGCTTGATGTTGACGTCGCTGTTGCGCGCGTCGAAGTCCATCATCGCCTCGTTGAGCCCGTAGACGGTGCACTGCAGGACCCACTCCATGTCGCTCGGGCCCTCACCGAGCCTGTCGATGCAGTGCTGCCTGTACTCAGCAGGCGGCTCGAGAAACACCCTGTCACGAATGGGAGTGTGCAGGAATGCCCTCGAGATGTCTAAGAACTTCACCTTCCATCCCTTGATCGTAGCCAGCGCCAGCAGAACTCGAAGTGTTGAGGCTCCTGGGGCAGGGGTGTACAGTAGGTCCTTCGGCTTCTTGGGCATATGGGCATATTGAAGGACCTCGCGCAGATTCTCGATTTCACCCCCTCGGCTCCAGCTTCATCAACCCACGTCACGCGCAGCAAAGGGCCGTCCACCTCCGAGCGCTGGACGTCGATCTTCGCTCTGAAGTCCTCCAGGCGATCCAGCTCCCCGTACATCGCCGTATGGATCTCCTCCTCGGCGAACACGCGGTTGGTGATCACGCGCTTGTTCATCTGCTCGTCGTTCTCCTCCTCGTTGGGCCGCAGCTCCTCGATCATGTTGATCTTCATCTCCACGTCGCTCGTCCTGATTGGACGTGATCTCCTCGCCCGTCTCGGCCTCGGCGGGCCTCTTGGGACTGGACTGCCGGGCGGGGCCTTCTGGGGGCAGGCCTGCCGACGAGCCTCGACCTCTCTCCGGCGCTCGCGCCGCCGCCGCTGCCGAAGACTGCTCGACGAGGAGGAGGAGGCGGAGGAGGAGGAGGACGAGGAGGAGGAGGAGGAGGAGGCGGAGGCGGAGGAGGAGGAGGAGGAGGAGGAGGAGAAGGAGGAGGAGGAGGAGGGATTGAGGAGGAGGAGGAGGAGGGAGGAGGAGGAGGAGAGGAGAGGAGGGAGGACGGGTAGGAAGGAGGAGGAGAGTAGGCGGAGGAGGAGGAGGAGGAGGCGGAGGAGGAGGAGGACGGGAGGAGGAGGCGGAGGAGGAGGAGGAGGCGGAGGAGGAGGTGGAGGAGGTGGAGGAGGAGGATCCTCACTCTCTTGTCGGCTGCTCGCTGCTGAACCTCTGCCTCGCGCTTCGGACGCTGTGATGCCGCCGCCGCCGCCGCCGCTCTGGACGATGCTGGGGTCGCCGCGGCTGCTGCCCCAGCTCTCGGTGCTGTCCCTGGCCTCGCTGGAGCTTGAACGACCGGCGGACCCTGCAACTGCTGTCTCTTGAATTCCGCCTGCCGCTGCATGCATGCCGTCGTGTGTGCCCTAGGGCGCCCGACCCTCCTCACTGGAGCTTGATCGTCCTCGCAAGCCTGACGCCCTTCCGTAGGCGTCCAGCCTGGGATGCCCCGAACGTCCTTCAGGTCGTTCGGAGACCACGTGGGGAAGACCATCGCAAAGAAGGTCTCCTTGTCGAACTGCTGCTCCTCAGGACGCCTCTTGACGGTACGAGCCTTCGCGATGTTCGTCGCCGTGCCCACGATGTGCTCGTTGGTGTCGGTAGAAAGGCCGAGCCAGATAAACTGCGTCCACGCCGATGCTGACTTGCTATCTGCGACTCCGGACTTCTTTGTCAGCACCGCCTTTGAAAAAATAGCAGCGGAGACTGAAACTTCACCATCTTGAGATCCTCGTGGGTGGTCCTGCCGTTCGGCTTGTACTGGAAGCGGTTGTGGATGTAGACGACGTGCCTGACGATCCAGCTTAGAATGGCAGAGCCCCCTTTGCTCCGGACGTTGTACTTCTTCTCCACGTCGTGCTTCACCGTCCTCACGAGTCCTTCGACGACCTTCACGGACGCCTCCGCCAGTCCGTTGATTGACTGGGATCTTGGCGCCGATTATCGTAGAGAGATGTGGGTCTGGATTCGGAGGCCTCGAACTTGTCACCACACACGAATTTCGGCGGTCTGCCTCCACCGAGGATGCGTGATCCCGATCTCGGTGATGGTGGTATCGTTCGGGCTGCCTGGGCGGCCGAAAAATTACCACCAGCACCAAACTCTAGGACCACCTTGCACTGGTGGAGGCAACGCCTTGTTTTTGGTGTTGGTGCTCATTTCCCAGCCTCCAATGGATGCCCTTCGCGTCCTTACTCCTCCCCTGCAGCACGCCCTTGCCGAGCGCAGTGATCCGACGCCCGCCGGCGCTCTGCATGATCACCCCCGGGCAGCCGATCCCGTCGGGGCAGCTGCTCACGAGCGCTGTCGCATATGATCATGGTCCTTCTCAGGGCTGGACCTAAAAAGTGTTTTTGGTGATTTCGTGGCGACTTCGTTTTGCAGTAAAGGCGGGTTCGAGACAAAAGCGAGGGAAAACGAAAGCAATCCGAAAAGGAACAACACCGTTTAGGTTCAGCCCTGGCCCTTCTGATGTCACCTGAGCAGCTCCAGTACATGATGCAACTAAGTATCGCTCATCCGATCCCCATCCCCATGCCCATCCCCTTCGAGACCCCTACCAAATTACCACACCAGTTGGGGATACACCCCTCGAAACCCGAAGGTAACGGCTTATATCCCCATTTAGGAGGGTGAATCGGCCAGTGGGGCTCAGGCCATGCCGCTGGGGATGGGGATCGGTTAAACGATACTCACGAACGCTATCGCATATGATCATGGTCCTTCTGATGTCACCTGAGCAGCTCCGATACATGATGAAACGCTGTCCTGAATACAGTCGGCCCAGATTAGGAGGGCGACCCTGCCAAATCAAGGGTACTCTTGTGTCCTGTGTCTCGCGACCTATGTCTCCTGCATTCCTATGGCAATGTGGCCCTCGGAAGGGTCTTGTGTTCTCTCGCGTGTCCTGTCCAATGAAGTCCGACTGTAACTAGGATCGTAGCCGCCTCCTCGTCAGTCTCGCCGATGCCAAGGAAGCAGTAGTCCATGCCAATGGCTGGAGTCGGGGGTCGATCTGTTTCGTGCCGTCGTCTACAGTCGGCCCGGATTAGTAGGTCGACCGTGCCAAATCGAGGGTACCTTTGTGTCTTGTGTCTTGCGACCCATGCCTCCTGCATTCCTATGGCAATGTGGCCCTCGGAAGGGGTCTTTTGTCCTCTCGCGTGTCCTGTCCAATGAAGTCCGACTGTATGAGCATCTTCTTGGCCACGTCCACTTACCCAACTCTCGCCCCGCGGCGCGTAGGGCACATGGGTGAGCACATGGCGTTGCTGTTCCTCCTCGCTGGATAGCACTGTTGCCCGTAGAGCGATCGCCTCGGCAGCCTCGGGACTGACCTCGACCGCCTCGTCGCTCTGGATCACGCCTCCCGGGGGGTTGGCCCCTCGGTCGGCCACGATCGGTGCCACGATCTCCTTCTTGTTCTGCCTAACTCTCGCCGTCGTTGAACCTGGGCCCTTAAGGCCTGTCAGAAAGTACCCACTGCCACGCCTAGGGATCTTGACCACCAAGCCATCCTTGGGCATGTAGCCCTCGGGGCCCATCTGGAACATCTAGCCCCGACTCGTCAGCTCGCCAACCGAAAACAACGGCCTCCGAACATCTGCAATCACGAAGGGTACCACCACATCAAGCGACCTTTCGCACACAGTCTGGACGGTGATTGGGACGAGTCGCTGTCCGTATACATGTAGCTTCTTACCAGTAGCCGAGTACAGCTCTGGCTCCACCGAGAGATCCGATATCTGCACGTGCTTGGCATACTCCTTGGGCGCGACGTGTGTGCACGCGCTGCTATCGAACATCGGGTCCTCGTCACCTGCGACCGCGTTAATGACCGTCTTGCTGATCATGAAGATCACAGCTGGTCACCTCGCTGGCCTGTTATCTCCTAGCTGTGCCCATCTTGAGACTGAGCTGCCCCAGGAGCATCGCCTCCCTTTCCTGCCGCACCCTGGCTGACCTCATTTGCGTTGGCTGGAGGGTGCCTGCAATCTCGAGCAATGTGTCCTCGTTGTCCGTATCGATGGCACTCATTTTCTTTGCCTCGTCCACCAGCTTTGCCATCTCCCATGCTCTTGCTGCTCGTCTTGCCCTTCGAGTCGCCCTTGCTCGTGCCCTTGCCTTTGGTGTCTTTACCCTTTCATGTCTTGCCCTTGCGGTCAGTCTTGCCTTTACTGATGCCGCCAATGTCCATGGGAACTGCTGCTGGTCTGGAGCTGAATGTAGTTGCTCATCGTCTCCTTTAGGTCGTTAGCCGACGCGAACGTCTGCAGGTCGATCTGCGCCTTGATGGATGCTGGCGCGTTGGCCTTCAAGATTGCCTGCTTGAGCGTGTCGCTTAACTTGTCATTGTGCTGCTTCTCGTAGAGCTGGAACCGACCCTCGAGCTTCAGGAACTGCTCTGCGAAGGTGGCTGAGACTCCATCGAACTTGATACTCAGAATCCCCATCAGCTGCGTGACCTGCGCCGCGCCCGTAGCTGGTTCCTCCTGCTTGACAAGTTGCCTCCGCGCTTCCAAGCCATTTTAGCCTGGAACCTTCATCACCAGCTGGAGCGACGCGCCTGTGAGCACTTGACTCAGGATGAACGTCAACGTCCTGTTGCGCCGCTTCCTCTCTGGGCTCTTGCTGATCGTAGGGGATCGGGTCCTGCTGCGCTTCCGATGTACGTCCACGTTCTTGGCCAGCCTCGTGCCCAGCGCTCCGAGGCAGGCCCTGAACACGTGCTTCCGCTGCTGCCGGTCCGATCGCTGCCCACTGTACGGCTTGGGCTCGCCCAGTCGCTCTGCATCCACCAGCGGCGGCTCAGCTGGCCGCCAACCTCGCCGAACAGGCTGCCCGCCGCCTCGCCGTCGTCCTCGGCTGCGCTCGCGCCTCGGGCGGTCGAGCGCGGCGCTGCGCGGCGCCAGGAGGAGGAGGAGGAGGAGGAGGAGGAGGAGGAGGAGGAGGAGGCGCCAGGAGACCGGTGGGTGGTCCGCCGACCTCACGCCACGGGCTCCGCTGCCGTGGGGAGAAGCGAGGGCTCGTGTCTGCTCCTCGCAGAGCGGTCCTGAGCCAAGGTGGCGTCGAGACGGCGTCTCGATGGGAGCTGCTCTTTCCGCTCCAGTCTGCAGTGCGCTTTGCACGCCGCCTTCGCCTGGAGGCTCTCTCTTGGGGCTCCTCTGGGAGCACTCTTGGGTCGTCTTGGGCGCCTCGTGGGCCGCCTCGAAGTCATTCACGGTCGTCGTGGGGCTACCTTGGGCGATCGTGACGTTTTTTTGAATTGTTTTGGCGCCGTTTTGGCGCTCTGTTTTGGACCTCATGCGCCGTCTTGGGTTTCTGAAGAGGCTCCGGAGGCCCCGGGTATGCGTTCGGGAACTCGTCCCCCCTCGTTTCCCCCCCTCAAACGTTGTTTTGGAAATTCGGGGAGGGGGACAGCCAAATGTCTCACGCTCCTTGTCACCCCCTGCGAGCAGGGGTCGGCAGATGTACTCCTGGACTCCCAGATCCCAGTCTTCTTCAGGCGCATTCCTGTTTCAAGAGTCGAGCGGTTTTCCTTTCCTCCTCCTCCAGGGGCGGGCGGGCACCCAGTCTACAGACAACCCGCATAGTAAGGATGAGCGGCTCTCCAAGGCTACCCTTCCATCCTTGTCACTGTGGCCCATCCTCGGTAACTTTCGCTGGCCAGCCTCGTTCGAAGAACGTTAACGTTAAGTCGGGCCTGTCCCTCTACAGGAGGAATATTCAAACATTGTCGAAGCATAGTCTGGGACCATTTTTGAAGATTTTCTTGAATACAGTTGAGTATGTTTTTGGGGTATTTCTAATTGTTCGTCCAGAATCCCCCTGTAGGGGGACACGCCCGACCTAACGTCAATGTGGCCCTCCAGGGCCCTTGCATCCTTACCGCGCTGCCGTAGTACACGGGCTGACTGCATTTCCAGCGCCTTCCTGCTTCATGTTTCTCCCCACGTCGCTCGGCCGGCGGGTGGCTTCCTCCTCCTCCCCCTCCTCCTCCTCCTCCGCCTCCTCCGCCTCCTCCTCCTCTTCCCTCCTCCACCTCCTCCTCCCTCCACCTCCTCCTACCTCCTCCTCCTCCTCCTCCTCCTCTCCCCTCTCCCCCGCCCCTCCACCTCCTCCTCTCCCTCCTCCTCCCCCTCCTCCACCTCCTCCTCCTCCTCCTCCTCCCTTCCTCCTTCTTCCTTCCGTCCTCCTCCTCCTTCCCCCCCCCACCCTGCCGTTGTAGACCTGGAGGTGCTGCACCGCCTGGCGGAGCACGCGGCGCTGCTGGGCCGGCTGCTGGAGGAGCGCGGCAGCACCGGCTCCAGCGTAAAGCAGGCCTTCGGGAACGACGACGACGACGACGACGACGACGACGACGACGACGACGACGACGACGACGACGACGACGACGACGACGACGTTGAGTTTCGAGGTCCGAGATTCGACGTCGTCTTTTTATTTGCTCGCGGGTTACCGTCAGAACAGCAACTCCTGCACGTGGCCGACGCGCGGCGGCGGGCCCGAAGGGGACCGAAAGAAGGCGAGGGACGGGGAACCAGGACCCAGACAATGACGAGCGAGGGGCGCAACCGAAAACATTCCCGATTTTTTCTCCAAGCAATCCCCCATATCCCTTCATTTTCCATGACTCCCTTTCCGAGACATCCTACTTACCAGCCTGGAACATATCCCTATCCCTATGCTGGGCACCTCCTCATCACGATGCCAATCTTAGGGGTTCCCTTATTTTTTGAGGGCGAATCCCTAAGATTGTCATCGCCTTTTGGCGTGTCAATCTTAGGGATAGGGATATGTTCGAGGCTGGTAACCTACACACGTGCAGAACAACCGAGAGAGGTGACTAGAGGGGTGGGCACACAACAAGCACAGACACAGAGCAGGCGTTCCTGCAACATGCACTGCGTAGCTTCATACTGCAAGAACTCGTGATACGAATCCTCCTCCTCATCATCCAATCCCTCCCTCCAATCCCTCCCTCCGAAGATCCTGCACAAGTGCAGAACACGCGAGATGGGTGCGAAGAGTGAAACATAATTCACCTGCATCAGACAGCGCGCTTGGCAGGATGCGGCACACGGTCAGGTCTAGATGGATCAGAGAGCTCAGGTCGGAACGAGTTCGGGGCGAACGTGAACCCAATGTTGCCACGACGAATGGACGTGTCATCAGGAACAGCGTCGCAAGGTGCGCGACGATCATCATATGGTACGGCCACGAGACCAGCAGCAGGAGCAGCGATTTCCTGGGCTTCTGTCGGCACGAGCCAGGCTCGCGCCACTTCTGGCGCGCTGTCCACCAAGTAGAACTGGTGGTTGTACGACTTCCAGTAGCACCCCGTGGATCGTGATCAGCGCAGTACTCACGATCATCCGCGGTTGCTTCAACAGGGCCTGGGGGATCATCATCGGGACAGTTTTACCTCATCGGTCAGCGGCTCATTCACGGACTCCTGCTTCACTGCCTCGGACTCCGTCTCGCGAGCACACGAAACCAGGAGACGAGACGAGCACAACCAGCAACTTCATCATGTGGCAGGCTCGGGCACTGGTCCACATGCAGGTCGTCCTCCACAGTGGGCGCCCAGCAACCTGGCGCCCAGAAAGGCACGAACGAAGGGGCATCAGCGTTCCAGGGGAACTGCGCCCGCATGCTGGCCGCAGAGGCTCGGCCCTCCCAGCGCGGCCCCTTCGGAGGCACGCGGAGCTTTGCTCGGCGGGCGCCGTGGAGAGGCGGCAGCCGGGAGCCCCCGCAGGAAGCGCCGCGCTTTCCTGCGCAGCACGTCGGCACGGGG